ACAGAGAAAGACCCTTAATCAAACATGAAAAGGGGCTCAAAATATGACTATTTATAGTTAGGGTCGGAGCCCAAAAATGCAAGCAACTAAGGCTTATACAAAGCAAAAAAAAGACTAGAAAATGAAAAAAAGTGACTCACCCTTGTAGACCAATGCTCCAACAACTTTTGAGCCAAGTTTGGGAGTTTTTCACCTCTGGAAAGTAGCCTCAAGTTGTTGGAATGGAGGATGGAGGTGTGGTGCTATGAGGTGGTGTAGAAATAGTGTAGGAGCAAGGTGGTTTTGAGGGTTGGAATAGAGGGAGAGAGAGATTGAGTGCAAGGGCTCAAGACCAAAAATTTGTAACCCCTAAAATGCAGCTGAGGGGTTGGTTATATAGGCAAAGGAGAGGAGGAAAAAGGGGGGGAAAATGAATTCAAATTTCCCCCCAAAAGGGCATCCCCCCGGATACAGGATCTGGATGGAAAAAGAGGTCACAGCTGGAAGGAACAGGGAGTGGGGGTCATGGCCGGCCAGGTTTTGGGGGTTCAGGTGGTCGGCCGACCACCTCCCATGGCCGGCCGACCAAGGGTCAAAGGGGTCAAGCAAAATTACTGGTCGGCCACCTCATATTGGTGGTCTCCCATGTGTGCACAACACAACTATGTGATTGAAACCCAAAAAAAAGTGAACCATGAGAGAGAAAAGACCATTTTTTAGAGGGGGTCAAAAGGGTCAGGAAAAATTACTGGTCGGCCACCAAATATTGGTGGCCTCCCAGGTGTGTACATCACAAATATGGGGCCTAGGGTTCAAGAAAGTGGCTCCAGGGTGGTCAACATTGGCTTTCAAGTGAGGAAAACGGGCGTCGGAGAGCGATGAAGAAATAAAACTGGTTTTTTGGAACAATTTCTGGCCTCCCACTCTCCTACAAGCTTCCTAACTATGAAAATAAGGTCTCCACCAAAAATGAACCAAAACGGATGCAAAACGGAGGTTCGGGGACCGAAACGCGCGGCCCGAGGCCCCGAAAATGGGCTGTTAAGCACCGGAGGTGGCGTTTGACCACGAAGTTGGTCTCTCGGACCCCAGTGTCCCTCAAAAGGGAGGAAATGAGGTGTATACCAAAAATCAGAGGAAACGGAGGTGGTTAGGTGGTCCCGAACCGAGGCACACAGCCGTCGGCTCTGAAAAATCGGAAACCGGGCTCCAAATGGGAAAAATGGCCTACGACCACGAAATGTAGCCTGCGGCCACTGAGAGATGATCTACGAGACCTCTCCCTCCCTCCGGGAAGAGAAAACAGAGCTTGGTTCGCAAACCGAGGCAATGCACGAAAGAGTCCGGAAGTCCGGAGGCAAGGCTCGCAGCCAAAACTCTGAAACTTCTGAACGAGCACTATATGCAATATCACCGAGCGCTCAACTGGTGACGTCTGAGTCTTAAGGTCGGTCAAAAATGGGGTGTCTACACCTGGCAAGTTAACTAAGAACCTATACTTTCCCATTTGAGGTTTAAGTTATAAATAAATTAAACAGGAGTATTAGCTCGGTCAAAGTGTAATGCTGAATAGCTCGGTCGAGCGTTCAAGGGAGTACCTGGCAGCCTAAGTCTGCAAAGTGAAAAAAGAGAGGTGTTAAGCACAAGTCGTTGGACCGTGCTAAAAGAGAAAAGCAAAATAAATGAAGTCCTAGCTTCGCTACGTGGGCCACTACCCCGTCTTAGCCCGGTTTTAGCAGGGGTCCTTAGCCTGGTTAAGTCTTTGGGGCTGTATTCTTAATTCGGTCTGAACTAAGGGAGCTGGTTTAGCCCCAAATTTTAGCCCGGTCGGTGGTTGAGGCTTTCTAGAACGGTATTGCATAAACTCAGTGCGGTTCGATAGCTCAGTTAAAAGAAACAGAGGGTCCCTAACTTGTGGAAGCTACAAGTATAGTGTGAAATTTTAGTTCGGTTGTTAGGTGTGGCTAGGTTTGCGCTTAATACAAACAGTATCCTAGTTCGGTTGGGGTGTGATTTTGGATCAAATACACTGTTTCTCAGATTATTCGCGAAATACAAGTGGTTCTATTACATGATTTTTTCCAGAAAAATAGAAGCAAACATGGGATGTATTTTGAAAAACATACGAATACTAAACTATATATTGTAAAAACAGTGCGAAATAAATAAAAATGAAACAGATTCGAAACCACTTACCAGCTCAAGATGAAGGAACTGAAGAAGGGAGCAATGGCAATAAGAACGCAAGTTTTGTAGGCACTGTATTTGAGAAAAGTGAAAGCTCAGAGAAGGGAGTAAGAAGAAAGTGAATAGTGCAAGTGAAATGATTCAAAAAACAAAGGGTTTGGTTTTGTGAAAAGAGAGAACGAAATGGCGGGACTGTTCAAAAAATGCGAGGTACGATGACGGCGTGACAGCTATACGTGGCTAATGAGAATTTGCCACGTGTCCATGGAATAGAAATCGATTCAGCTACAGCGATTGAAGGGACGTTTTGACCAGATAGATGGGGCCCGGAATGAATTTAGCTCGGTAGGAAGGCTAAGGTTTTTAGCTCGGTTGAAAAGCTAAAGCTTCTTAGCTCGGCTGGTAACGGGTAATCCCTATCATGCTGCGTAGATGGAATTAGGGGGCAATTGAGAGGGTAATTTATTTGAAAATTAGGCCGAGCTGGATTTATGGGCCGATCTGTGGGCCATAATAAGAGGGGCCGAGTAAAAGGGACTAGAAGTTAGCCCGGTCCATGAGAGCTCTACAAGTTAGCTCGGTCACCACACTCAGAGCGATAACAGTTAGCTCGGTCATACCATGTTGAGCCAAAGTAAGGTGGGCTTTCCTCAGAACCTTGCTATTGGTTAGCTCGGTCCAAACTTGTTGTGGTTAGTGCGGTCTCAGACAACCTAGTTGGAATATGTCAAACCGAGGTACGCGCAGTGAAAGGAAGAACCAAGCTAGTGGGAGCTCGGTCTAGTCTGCGGCTTTAGCATGGCTATGTTATCTCGGTCGTATTGACATCCAACCGTGGTAAAACCATCTCACTTGGTTTAAGCAGTGAAGGGGGTGTTGAAGGATAAGCATTATCTTTCAGGAATGTGATTCCTAGGAGGACTCTGCATGGAAGAATAAGAATCCTATTAGGATTGTGCCACGCGGAACCTATAAAAGCTCATAACATCACTTATGGAGAGGTAACACAACTTTGATTCTCGAATACACAGAGCTTTTGTCTATTTGTCTATTTTACTGACTTAGGCATCGGAGAGGTATCCGGCACACACCCGCCGACTAGCTCACGTTTGTGTTTTCAGGGAGTAAAACGACGACGTTAGGAGGAGCGCAGACTTGGTCAACAGGATTATACGAGAAGGTTTATTTCTTTCCCATACAGTTCATAAATTAAAACTTGTGTGTAAATGACCCTAAAAGCAAATAACATGTACATTGCACGAGTTAACTACTAGTTCATTATTATATTAATATTTACTTCTAAATCTATAGTATTACATAAAATTTAAGTGAGGAAAATTGAAATTGTGTAACATAAATTTTAATACCAAAATTATCCAAGTAAAAACACATTTTTTACAATTGTTTAAACTATTCCATCAATAATTGTTTTGAGCAAAAATGTAAGAAAATTAAATTTTCCGTCTGTCCCTGTACCACTTTTCCCATTGCTTATTCAATAAAGAAAAATGCTTGGGAGCACTAATTAGTGCTCCCACTAATTAGGTGGCAGTGGGTCTCGCCATTAATGATGTGATGTTTTAGTCTTGGAGTTGTGTTTTTTTTTTTTTTTTTTTACTTTTTTAATGCATTAGTGCTATTAGTGGTGATATTTTTAATGGGATGAATCATTGTTGTTCAATAAATATATTATTATTTCACAATATTAAAATATAAAATTATGTAAAATAACATTAATATTTTTATAATTATGAGCTATAATAATTAATTATTTATTTATATTAAGTGAATGTAAATAAGCATCATTTTGCATATAAATTCTATTCATAAATGATAGTAGGTATATTGCCCGACAGCTCTGGTCCGGGCTCCACAATTGCTTTCGCTGATCCAAGGCCCGGCCCTGGCCCAAGGCAAGCAAGGCAATCCTGCCTTGGCCCCCCAAAAAATTAACAAAATTTGAGGGCCCGATAATATGTTTAAGTCATGAAATATTAGTAGCCCAAACAAAAAGGGCCCAAAAAAAATTCAGGGTTGAAAATATAAAATATAAATATATGGGGTAAAGTTCATAAATAATACATATATCACTTGTCTTGCTTCTTTTCTCCAGACTCCACTCTTTTACTGGAAGTTTCGAACAAATCGTGAAAGCAAACCGCGATGAAGCAAACAAGTTTAAATTCTACAGGTAATGAAGCAATTAGCGAGGTGATTTCTACGACATCAAATCATCGAATCACCAACTGTTAGTCCTCTTGAATAATGTTATATGTACTAATTAATGTATTAACAGATGATGTGATATCATTTGTATGATTTTGGGTGTTTGTAATTTATATAATAAATGTGGTCAATAATAATATCATAACACTAGTTGGTACACTAGTGTGTACACTAATTAATGTATGTAGCACCACTGTAGTCCTCTCTCTCTCTGTCTTAATTACTTTTTAAATTCACTATTTTTTTTATTTGAGGGCTTTTCTTTTTAATTTGGTATCTCTTTTCTTTAATTATCGATTTCATTGCCTTTTTATTTTTGACTTGCTTATTTTTTATTTGTGACTTTTTTTTCTCGTTAAAAGCCCCATTATAATGATTCGCCTTGGCTGCAAAAAACTCAGGACCGGCCCAAGGCCTATAGTGTCTTGGTGCAGACTACTTTCAGTGGGTTAGGGCCCATATAGAGCCCAATACATGGTATGAATTAGTGGGCTAAGGCCCATAAGGAAATACCAAATATGGCGCAAAACCATAGAGCCCAATGCAAAACAAATACTAATCCAAATAGAATAATTCATCATCACGCGAAGATTGCCGAGCCTCCAATCAGGTCTGGCCAAGTGCCGAGTAACAGATTTTTATCGTACGCCGTCATACAGTGAGGCACAACACGGGAAAATCACAAACCCTAGATTTCCCTCCTAAATCCCTAATTTTCCATCAACACTGGAAACACTGAAAATTTTCTCTGTGGGAATTAAATTTTTTCTTTTGTCGGAAAAAATAAAATAAACATTCAAAGATGCTCCAGAATAACAAACTTGAGGAAGATTCAAATCAAAACCCTAGAGTTACCTGGGAAGGTTGCAGTGTCTTGCTCGACATCAACGATGGTGACCGTCTCGTTTTTGCTCGTCTCACTGCTGCCTCGTAAGTCTTTTTGCTAATCTTGTGTCTTATATGTATGTGGGTACATGTGTATATGGATAATGTAATTTGTTTCCAGTGCTCTACTGTTTGGATTGATACGGAATGGAATTGCAGGAGTTTGAAAATTGGGAATAAGAATTTTCTTCTTCAGCCATTGATTGGTCGTCCTTTTGGTTCTTTGTTTCAAGTTGAGAATGGAAAGGAAGGACCATTTTTATCTCCACTTTCTATTACTGAAGGTTTGATTCTCCATTTTCTTCTCTCAACTTGTTTGATTTAATGTATTTTCTGAGCTATTATGGGAAACCAACTAATCTCATTTGGATAAATTGAGCCTTAACTTAACTCTTTAAGATATTTTTTTGTCAAATTGGTTTTTGTTAAAATAGATGGAGCCCGTACTTTTTTTGAGCATATTTTTAACATTTTTTTTTAAATGCAAATTAGAGTTAGTTCGTGCTTTACTATTACTTATGTTTTTTATAATACAGACAATGATTCACATTTTGTCCTCTTATGCTTATTGTTGTGCATAGCTTGACAATTTAATGCCAGTATTTGTTAGACTTCTATGCAAATTGTATTTTGTGTTATTTTTTTATTTTTCAGATCTATTCCAACTTGTTTTTTTGTTGCCAGTTGTGACCCTTTTCTTCGTTCTTTGCATTATGGTTTTTAAATTAATGATGTCTTTGCGGAATTTTTATTATCAGGTGATAATGTTGAAGAAAAAGGGGATTGCCAAATTAACGACGAGTGCAAAGACAACCGAGGATTGGTTGATAATAATACTGCCCAAAGTCTCACTGGTGAAGATATAGATGAGATGCGAAGGTTGGTATGTTATGCAACATTTTCAATTAAAGGCCTTGTGCAAAACACATATTTAACATTGCATTTTACACAACCCTAAAGATTTGGCAGATTGGGAACACAACAGTGATGATTTTGCTTGAATGTGTTGTCAATTTGTTATATTGCAATATGTGCATTGTGTATGGTGTTTTATTTGTTTATTTATTTTATGCATTTTTATGATTCCATGCCATATGTTTAAAATTACTTTAGGATGTTATTGTCGATAATATACTTTGTACAAACATTTGGAGTTGCAGCTTCTTTGCAATTGATCCATAGAGAATATTGTGTGTTATCTATATTTAATTTAATGATGAGGAGGTCACACACAGTAGGCCTCCTACTAATAGTGATTTCTTAAGTTTGGAAATGCATGAGTTTGGATGGTTTGGCTTTCCATTGGAATTGCATGGCTTTTGTTGGTGTGGAAATGCAGATTAGATTTAACAATGTTAGTTTATCTATTGTGAAAATATTATTAGATTTCTAGTCAACACTGCAGCAACTAATCACAAAAGAAGTAAATGGAAAAGGGCTCTCATTATGTTTAAGTTCTCTATCTATCTACAAAAAAGCAACAAGTGCATTCGTTCTACCAATATATTTTCTTGAAATAGGTGCCTACATATATCTTGCATCTTGTCACATCTTTTTGTTTGTAATTCTGATGGGAAGAGAAAATTTGGTGCTTGAATTGCTGGAATAGTTCTTCAATTTTGATTGGGGTATTAGATTCAAGGAAAATTTAGCCAAAACCCATCCATTGGACCCTTGTTTGATGAAAAGGACAACCCAATTTATTTTGCTTCATAAACCCTTTAAGGAGAAAACACATAATTGAGTAAGGAAAAGACGAAGTAAAATATATATATTTTTTTTCTTGGACAATATTGTCCGAGTAACATGTTACTGTAAATCAAAGTAACATGTTACTGTTACTGTTACTGTTTACATTTATTTTGACGGTAATAATAATATTTTTATTTTTATTTTTATTTTTATTTTTTTTTAAGAATTTCATAATCAACATGGATCTTATTTGATAGATCTTGATAAGAAAATTTAAAAATACTAATTTTATTAAAAACCGACATCTACGTCAAAAATTATATTATTTTAAAGTTTAATATTTTGATAATAATAGTATATGTTGGACTTTTCAAGGAAAACATTTTGTGTTTGTCCTTAATGCATTAAAATTTTATTATGAGGTGATTTTGACCAAATCCCCCTATATTCAAATTGGACAAACAAATTATAAATATTTTTTTTAAGAATTTCATAATCAACATGGATCTTATTTAATAGATCTTGATAAGAGAATTTTAAAAATACTAATTTTATTAAAAACCGACATCTACGACAAAAATTATATTATTTTAAAGTTTAATATTTTGATAATAATAGTATATGTTGGACTTTTCAAGGAAAACATTTTGTGTTTGTCCTTAATGCATTAAAATTTTATTATGAGGTGATTTTGACCAAATCCCCCTATATTCAAATTGGACAAACAAATTATAAATGATTTATCAATCCAAATAATTTTTTGAGTTTTGATGTAAAATTAGGCCTTTCATTTGTGCCAACCAGAAATAAATATTTGTCTCTAAATTTATTGTTATGCTATGTGGCTGTTAGCCATCATTTGTCTGTTTTGGATGTTTCTGTATAATTTTTTGGCTAATGTATAGCTTTGATGCAGACAGGGTGCCACAGGGGATGAAATAGTCCAAGCTCTCATTGCTAACAGTGCAACTTTTGAGAAGAAAACATCATTCTCACAAGTGAGGTTCTCCTAGGTTCTTGAGTATAGGATAATGTCTATGTGAAATATATGTTGAATTCTCATGTGCTGCAGGAGAAGTATAGACTAAAGAAGCAAAAGAAATATGCACCCAAGGTACTTTTGAGGCGTCCTTTTACACGAAGGTAATCTTTCTTTTATGCAGTCCGCAGGACAATATTTAATTAATGATATATTTTGAAAATTCCATATAATATAAAAGGGAGAATTTTAGATAAATATGAAATGAGGGTACCTGCATTTTCTCCCCCACATCATTCTGGCTTAAATTACTTAGTGGCATGAAAGTTATGTTCTGTCTTCTAGATCATATTGGAACCTCATGGAAACCTTTATGCAGATTGTATGCTCTCTTCTCCTTTGGATAATGCCGGGTAGTACAAGGAAAAACCCAAAATGCTACAATTAGGTTTCTTATGATTTTAGGTTATTGAAAGCTTGCATATTAATGGGGTTTGTAACTTGTGGGAGAGACAAAAGGTTGTAGGATTTGGAAATGGAAAAGAGCTCTCATTCTATATTTAGTCTCTAACTAGTCCTGTAAGCTTTTAGTGCTTGTTTGATGATGGTACTGTTTTCTGTTTGCTGACTTGTTATTTTTATTTATTTCAGTATATGTGAGACATACTTCAAGAAATATCCAGCCAGAATTGGGTAATAGTATCGCCACTCATGAATTTTACGTTTTTTGTTTCTCATTTCGGTATGATTACATCATTTGTAGATTTTGAATGAGTATTTGTTTTTGGGAAGTTCAAACAAGCCTGTGCAGAACTTTCATTCTATTGGATTATGAATGTGTTTGTCTCTTTGAATTTGTTTTGTGCATGTGTTGGTCCATGTTATTTTGTGCATTGCCTTCGTGTCAATTTCTATATTATTGTGTTTTAATTATGTTTCAAAGAAGGTCTTTTTTACACTTTCATTTGCTTCCAGAGTTGTTAACTTCTATTATTGTTGAGCTGGTCACATATTTGCATTTAAGGCCCAGACCATACTCTGAATGTTAGTTCTTGTTTCTCTCTCTCTCTCTCTCTCCTACTTATAATTCTGATGAGAGCTTCATTCCACTATTGCCCTCAAGTTGGCTTACTTTTCCCATAAGTTGGTCCCTATGCTCATTTGTGAATCGGTTGGAATGTATAAGGAATTTCTTTCTATCCCTTTTCAGAGTAATTGCAAAAATTAATTGCTTTTATATATCATGGTATTAGAATAATTTCCAGCTACCTGTATTGCTGCTGGCTGCACAAAAGTGATGGTACTGGTAGCTTGTTAAGCCATTATGTCCTCTCAGATGTTCGGTATTTCCATTCCACTTATGTGGTTAGGTGTTAATGCTGTGGGTCCTGGTTCTCAAGTTTCTTTCGGTCAACTCTGCGTCAGGGACAGCTGATGTTGGTGATTTGATGTATAGACTCAGGCATGAGTTAATTTATGTAGATGAAGAGTCTTGTATTCAAAATGCAGTAATTCTTCCTAAGTGGAAATAACATTATAGCCATCCTCCAGATAAAAATTGCCTATATTGTTTAGTGAGCATTTCTTTCTTGTTAATTTCTCTGGCTGTGGAAGATTAAGTTATGTTTTCATATGAATAGGGGGTTAAAAATTGGTTTCACCTCATCTCTGGATAATAATATAATGGAATCTATTTGTTACTTCATTTACAATTCTTTTCAGGTTCTTGCGGGTGGACTCTTTATCTCTTCTTCTCTCCATGGCGAATGTCAGTGCACATTCTGATGTCCTTTTGGTGGATATGGTTGGTGGTATTCTTACTGGTGCTGTGGCTGAACGTTTGGGAGGTCTGCTATTTGGTTTCTTCATTACAATTTACAACTCTTTTTCTTGCTGCTTAAAGTACTTGTTGAGTATGTTATACTTAAAAACTACCCTAAGTTCATGCTACCAAGTTTGCTTTTTTGAATTTCAAGCTTCATTTTGAGTAATATCTCAATTTACAATTTATAAAGTGTCACATAATTGTCCTGGAGGCTCAGACTTCAGAGTGTCCCCACTTGCTGTTGAGGATAATATAATTGCTACTTCATTGCTTAAATAAAGAAACTAGTCATTATGTGTGAAGATTAATGGATGGATTTTAAATAGTGGATACTTAGCATATTTTGATGATACCTTTTTTTTTTTTTTAATTTTATATTTTGTATCCTTATTATTTAGCTTATTTTAAATGTTTATGCATGCTTCTTCATTAAAAGAAACTGCCTCTATATGTACCAAGACGTCTGTTTCTGTAATTCTTAATGGGGATTTGAGTTACAACTACTGTACCTTAACCCTAAATCATTAGCTTCCCGCCCCCAAACCTGCAGCCAGGGTATGGAGGCTCATTTTCTATGTTATCCCAGTTACCTTGTAAAAATACAGAGATAGTTTCATCACATAAGAGATAACTCTTTTTATGTCCTATTTTTAAGTCTTGGTAATAGATTTAGGCATGATATTTGTTACATTAAATTCTTTCCCGCGTGCAGTTTGTTTACATGGTTCATTTCATACAGAAGTTTCTTTAAAGTAAAGCAGAGTAGGACACCCATTGTTGCATGCACTCTGTAATTGTTTGATGATGTTGCTGGTCTCAGCAGGTACAGGTTTTGTGTGCAATACTTATCTTGGGGTTACGCCATATCCAGTGGATATAGTAAGAATGTTCAACTTCAGCAGTGAAACTTGCAGAAGGTGCATCTTGTTTTAAGCTTTATTATTTTTGGAAGTGTAGTTATTTTACATTTTCTTTCATATTTCCTTTTTATGAAACTTTTTAGCATTTATTTTGAATCTTTACCGAACTATGTTTTGAGGTGCTTATGAGTTTGTGTGGAGCTGTTTCAATGTGCTTACTAGTTTATCTGGTCCAGGATTGTGCAGTGTTCGCTCACTGACCTTTGTTCCACTCAAAATGAAACTTCTGTGCAAATTGGCCAAGCTGGAGATGCCATTGGAAGTCAGTCAAATGTAGGGGGGGACACTTCCTTATTATTTAGGTGCATATTGTCTCATGGTTTTCTAACTGTACCAGCGGACAATTTTGTGCAGGAAGAAAAATCTCCTCTGTGCTCAGAAAGCATGGATGGAACTGCACTTTCTTCTGAACATGGGATGCTGGATCTTATGCCCGAGACATCTACTTCTCCAGTTACCAAAGCATGCAAAACCCCAAAAGCCGGAGAGAAGGCATCACAAGAGGCCATCAACTTGTGGAAAGAAAATGGGTTTTCTAGGTTGATTGCCGTTTGTATGATCATTTGGTTTATAATTCAAAAGATGTCACTTAACATTCTTATGTTCATATCCTTTGTGCAGCCTAGTAATTGCTACTCCAGATGCGGATGCTTGGACTATTGTTAAAGAACTCCTCCCGCTTTTATCATTTTCAGCTCCATTTGCAATTTATCACCAATATGTTCAAGTCAGTTGCGGTTACTTTATATTTGTAATATATTTTTCTAGCTCTTTTGCTTATGTCTTTAGGCATATTACTATGTTAAATAGATAATGTGGGAGGAGACAGAGGGCCTTATATTCACTTTTGAGGCATGCTTTAAGCATTTTTTTTTCTTTGCTGATAAGTCCTCCATGTAGAGTAGTTTTAGCAAAACTTGAGTTATACTGCTAACCCAGCCCAATAGGGATAATTCTTTAGTGGCAACACTGAACACTGATGGTGATGTTTTGGTTAAAGTACTTGTTTCAAAATGTTTGAGTTCAGTTCCATAGACTCATCTCCTTGTTTTATTTTATTTTCCCTGTAATGAAGCTAAGATGAAGCGTGTTTACTTTGGAGGGTTTCTGTCATTAATGTCTTTATTTCCTTGAGAGAAAAGAAACGGTATTATGTTACCTCAGTTGATATAACAACAGTTATCCAAAAAATGTGAATTGACTATTTCGGTATTAGCATATCAACAATTTAAATAATTAGATGTATGTGGGTGTAAAAGTGAAACAACTAAAAAATCTAACAAGTTTATGAATAGTTAAATTTGGTTATTTCTTAAAAAAACATAGATTTAACTTATCTTAAAATTAGGAGAATCAAAATCTATTCCATTCAATGCCTACACACAATTGAATTAACTCATTTTCAAATTCGTAGATTTTGAATAATTAACTCAAATGGTGCAACTTGTAAAATAAGGCAATTCATACAACAAAACAGCCGTCATAGCTTTTTTCTTTTGTACTTGAATTATTATTTTTTATAATGGTAGCAAGCCTATGCTATGAAGCACCCCTTGTGAATACTTCATTTCCAATTATTGAAATTTATGTCATTGTTGAATTATTATGAAGTGTTGCTATCTGTGATCTGTTTCAGAGCCTGTTCATTTTCCTGCTATGGCTTTGGTTGGTAGACTTGCAGTTTATTACCTTGGGACAATGAGAGGAAAAAAACTAATTCATGCTTTATTCTGTGTGTTCAGCCTCTTGCAACATGCATGCACAATCTACAACTTGGGAAAATGGCAGTTGGACTGCAAATTTCAGAACCCTGGCTTCGTGAATATCAGGTTTGTTTTAGATCTTCTAATGAATTTACTATCTCTTCGTCCTTTTTTTCCCCCCCTTTCTTTTTGTTTTTAATTCACATTCATTTATGATTGTTCTAACAAATTTACTGTGTCTTGGTCCCTTTTTTTTTCTTACTTTTTTTAATTCACATTCATTTATGATTTGTTATGTTTAAATGATCTAGAGGAAAAGTGTAGAACTATGAATTCAATATGAATGCATGAATCAACATATATGTAAAGGATTGTACCAAAAAAACATATATGTAAAGGAGCTAGCATGTGCCATTTGCACAAACATTATTCACATACTGAGAGGAAAGGAGTAAAGTTGAAGTTATATGCCCTGGGGCTCTAACTCAGAACTCAGAATTGCTATATAAGCAAAACTTGATTGTCTCCAATGTGATATATAGGGGATGCAAGGCAAAACTTGACTGCCATAGAGGAGCCTCAGAAAAACTTAAAATATTACCAGTTTCACTATCTAACAGTTTTCTACTATACGAGTAGCCTTGTTATGCATTTGAAGGCACGTGTTTTATAATCCAAGGTTGTCATGGGCATGTATGTTAACAGTCTTATGTGTGAGCTCCATACCCAATTCTGGTTTTATTTCTATATTTGGTTTTTCCTTCTTTTATGTGAATGGACTTTTCTCGTGGATCTTTCTATCTCATTAAGTCCAGTGCGTAGTTGTTTCATGTTATTTGAACTCTTCAAATTGTGAAATATCGAGTACTTCCTTTCTAGTTTACTTTCGTTGAAGCAAGTGGAGATTTGGTACTAAATTTTCATGGATTTCATTTTGGTAATGATCTAGTGAAAATTACAGGTTGTTTTGTTCATCCATAAAACTAATTACCGATCCTTCTGTTGACTGTTTACTTGTTTATTATTGCATTCCAGGTTCTTCCATCGAGAACCCATCCACAAATGCAGATGAGCTCATTCGGTGGGTATATTCTAAGCGGTACTAGGATATGTAGCGATGACCAGCCACAACTGAAGTAATTGCTTCAATTTTTTACCACAAATTTTTTTTTTTAGGGAAGCAATTGCCCACATCTCATAATGTATAATTTCTTTGATAAGAAGTGTACACTAGCTTTTCAATTGCAAATTTAAGAGTTTCATTTGAACAATAAATTGTGCTTGAATTTAATTTTTTTTTTTTTTTTTTTTTTCCTTTTATTTTCTGTAAACTCTAACCTATAAAGCCTGCACCGTCTGATGAATAAAATTTTCAGTGGCAGTGTTTAAAATCTTGTCTTGCAATTATTTGGTACCAACATTTGGAATTAATGCAATAATTTTATCTTCCTAAAAGAAAAACATTTTACCTAATACCACCACAATGTAATTTTAACTCTAATCTGTTCACAATTTATGCCGTTATATATTCTCTCTCTTTTTTCCTTTTTTTTTTTGTGTGGAACTACCCCTCATTTCTCTCCAATAGATTTATTTTGTCTCTAAGATAGTATTTGGTTTTTTTTTTTTTTTTTTATTTTTTTTAA